AATCATTCTCTAACTGCTTGCTGAAATCAACATACACATGTTCTTCGAAAGAGGATTACACAGTTTAATATCAATTGTATCAAACAGGTTTACCAAAGCCAATAATCTAGAGTATCTATTATACAACTCGCTTCCACAAAATACTTTTTTGCTCTTGTCTTTATGAATTGTTTGCACACGTAGAGAAATAAATCAGCTGGATGCAAATAGCGATGCCATCTCAATGCTATGTCTCTTCAACTACAAACTGTTATCCTTTCAGTCTGCAATAACACGACTTGGAATCTTGGTTCAAGACATCTGTGTTTTTTTACTTGTACAGCTACTTTTGGAACATTCAAAAATGTTCTAGAAAGTTCTGAAAGTTTCTCGAAAGTTCTAGAAGTTTCTTGAACATTCTAGAATGTTTAGGAGAATTGTAGAGATATCTTGACAACTCTAGAAGTTCAGGAATATTTTAAAAGGAAGCTTAGCGCTGTAAGCAAATCAAGAATTTTCTCAAAAACACACAAATTGGTCACAGAAACAAAATTTTTTAGGAATTACAATATTAATCGCTTATAATTAATACTTAATTTACCGCTGCTGCTGCCCATTTGTGCGCATTTACACAAATTTTTTTACTATTTATTATAAATAGCTCCTTTGTTTTATACTTATGAAATCATAAGGTACTCTCAAATCTTAATAACCTGTCAATATCTGCTTAATCAGTAATAAGATTGAAAACTTTGCTTCATCAGCTTAATTTGTGATAATATCGACAATTCTTATTTGATAACTTCTGTAATAAAGGATAAACCTTATGTTATTTTTGAATTAATAAAGTAACTTTTAAAGTCATTTATTTAATTCTTTTAAAGTCATTTATTTAAAGGTAATTTATTTTAAAGTCATTTTTTTAAAGGTCAACTTTTAAAGTCATTTATTTAAAGGTAATTTATTAAATTCATGCATTATAATAATAACACAATTCAAGTCCTTTGTTAATTGTATTTAAAGTATATTAATATGTATTTTTTAAATTAGAAGACAATGATGATCAAACTCTTGTTCAAGTTAGTGCTTATCTCCAACGTTCAAGTTAGTGCTTATCTCCCTTTTATCTCACACGGTCAACACTATGTTAAATGTTAAAGAACAAGTTTGTTTAATATCTTATTTTAAAGAAGTTAAAAAAAAATCGGTTTGCTTTTATGTTAAAAACAAGATTGTTTGATCGTTTGTTTTTGCAAGTTGTTAAACATTTATTACGAGGTATATTATTAAGCAAATATTACAAAAATAAGGTTGTTAGCAATTTATGCTTTTTATGATAAATTTTGTTAAAAAAATGACCCCACCATTTAAAATGGTAGAAGCCATGAATTGTTCTAAAAACATAAATTTTAAAAAAAACTTTAAAAAAATCGTTTAAATTAATTTTTTTTATTCGAGTTTTAATAATAATGTTAACATTTTTTACACTGCTTTTTAATTCTTAATACCTAATTGAGCTTCAGTAAATAATAAATTATTATTAATTAGTAAGTAACGCTTTTAGTAAAATGTCTTAAGCATTGTTGAATAGATAATTTGTGATATTGTATATTTATATTGTATGTACATTTATAAGCATGTCGAAATAAGGCAATAATAAAAAATAAAGGATATAAAAGTTATCTATACTCTATTATAAACAGTTTGGCGGTTAGTTTACGCAAAAAAGTTATTGAGAATTGAAATTTTAAAATTGAAAAAAGTAAAGAAGTGATTAAGATAAATCTTTACATTACTTTACACTATGTTGTTGTTTGAACAATTTTAAACACAATAGGTTTTAAGCATTTTTATTATCAATTCTTAACAACTTCTTGGTTCTTTCATTTCCACTTCTTTGCGTGATCTCTTACCTCATTTATAACCATTTCTTCACGTGATACAATCTTTCTTAATGCTTTAGTAACCACTACTTCACGTGTTACAACCTTTCTAAATTCTTTTCTAACCACTTTTTTACGTGATACAATCTTTCTAGCTCTCATACAACCTTGCCACTTTCTCTGCAACTTAAAAGATTGACTTTTATTGCTCAAAAACCTAAGCCTGAACTTATTAATGACACTTGAAATAAACCTTTTATAGACTAAAAATCCTAAACCAGAGTCTTTGAAAACAAATCCAATAACAAGCGCTCAGATGATAAGCTCCCAATGCTCACTCTTTCAAAAAAACCTAAAAAGTTATAAACTCACACTTCTGATAGGCCAAGTTTCTTCACCTAACTGAACAACAGCCAATTGCAAATCAATTTTAAATTCCAAAAATAAAAATGAAACTATCCTGTAATAATGCATGACATAAATATTAGTACATATTTCTTCACTGGAATAAAAATTATACCATTTTTTTGGCTCTTCTTCATAATGGTTTTCTTAAAACAATCTTAATTATCAAAAATTCTTTAAGAATTTTCTCTTACTTTTTGCAATATTATCGCCACATTCAACATGACTGCCGATGCGATCGTTTTTGTTTGACTAAGGATTACATTTCACCATTTAATGGTAGCAGTATTTGCTGAGCAGACAACCCTTATAGTTTTTTCAATTTGGTTTATTAATGAGTTCTTATCTGTAAAAATTTTGTAACTTTTATTAATTACTTTTTATTGTTTTTTTAATCAAATACTAACAATAATTTTGTAATTAATATTAATAATAATAATTACTAATAATAACTAATAATTTATATTTTATTACTAATAATAACTAATAATTTATACTTTTATTTTATCAGACATAACTAAATTAGTTATGTCTGATAAAATAAAAGAGGCGAGCCTAGGTAAGCTGAAATAAACTGCCATAGAAATAAGAGATAGGATAGGTGTTATAATTCCTTTTTATCTTTTGCTCCCTTCACAGCCAAAATACCTCATCCCTCAAATAATTGTTCTTTCTGTTTTAGGATTTATGGGCAAATTTTGCATAGTATTGGAAATTTAAGGCCTGAAGAATGTTTTCTACCCACGTATTGTCAGTTAAATATATATATGATTCTAATGTAGCAGTGTCATTCAGAATGGAACAACCTGGTAATGATGGTTGTACAAATGAGTTAACTTTTACGAACTTTAAGTAATCAAGAAAACCCATTTGTTTATGCATTTAAAAATATGGCAGAAGTAGAGGAGAAAAATGATGATGGCACAATTAATTGGAGCATCATGTTACTTTGTTCCAGCATTATAGTGTAATTATTTTGTGATATTTAATACAAAATGGATTTATATTTTGTTAGCGTTTCTATGTGTGTGCTGTTAATAGTTAAAATATGAGCAATAAACTATGGATAACTCAATAACCCTTAACTTTAACTAATTTTAATATTTCATTTGAGCCTTTATTTATGAATTATACTGACAATAATTCTTGCATTCTCTAACAAGCTAATTTCTTGGTCCCCTAAAAGGTTTGAGTAATTTAGAGTTAACTGTAATATATTATTATTTGTTGATTTTGTGATATTATTGTTGTTTTGTTTTGTGTTGATAGATTAGATGACTTGATTTACTTTCGCGTCAGGATCTTTAATTTAAAATGATTATTGGGTAGTTTCATTACTGAAACTGACTACACATAATCATTCACTAATAGTTGAAAGTTTCAGTTTTCAAATAAAAACAAAGATATATCTTATTGTGATCATTTATTTTTAGCCTTGCTTTTTTAAAAAGATTTGTTAATCCAAACTTGCAACAATAGATCTTTAAACTTTCACAAAAGATAAATAACCTCACAAAGTAAGTTTCTTATTTGTTATCTGTTTTATCACATTTTTGAGTTTTCAAATAAATAAATAAAGTACATAACAAATTAATGTGTTTTAAGTGTATTCAATAATAATTTTGTTCCATTTTTAGGTCGAATTCCTTCTCCTATGACTAATTTTGAAAGTTCCTACATAGCAGAATTTAAGAAATATTCTGAATGTTGATTTTGTATTGTATTCAAAAAGCTAAAACAAAGCTTGATAATCTTCATACAATTTACTAAAAGATATATAATAATGAAAAGATGTTTCAAATTAAATTGTTTTTATAAGTATTTTTGAATATAAAATTTTTTTGTACTTTTTTTTAAGTTTATTTTTTTATTTTATATCAAGAAATTTTTTTTGCTTGTTTCTCAAATAAATTTTTATATTTTTTTTCTTTAGAACTATTGTTTTGAATGGATATATTGGCTATTTTTGATTTGTTTTTTATATTTCCCGTATCTTTTTATATGTGAATGGAACCATTTATACTTTAATCACTTTTTGTATGATCAAGATGGTTTCCATTTGCAATAAGTATCGATTGCACAAAGAACAGGTTTAAAATTTTATTTGCCTAATTCTGCAGTAAAAGCAGCTTAATTGTATGAATTTGTTAAGAGTTTTTTTACAGAAAGGCTTTTATAAAAAATATCCAACAGATAAAGCAAACTTATTTGAAATGACTAGGTCTCTTCAGCCCATTTTTCAATTCCAAATTTGCTTTTTAAATAAACCCTTATGATTGAATTGAAATATTATTATCATAGCCTAAGTTTCCAAAAACACCTGAAGAAATGTTACCCAACTGTCTTATGCTAAAGATACTTTTATCATGTAGAAAATATTAAAGTAAATAAGTAATAATGTAATTTACTAACTAACAGAACTTTAAATTGATTTATATTTTGCCACTTACTAAAATAATTTTATTTATTATAAGTATAAAGACTAAATTAGGAACAAGTTGAGAAACAGTCGGGTATATATTAGACTTACCAAGACCCGTATCGCATGGGTCATGACAGCAAGTATTATTATTAATTCAGGGAGGAAGGAGAGGGAGGTTATCTAAAAGGTGGTTTAAAATGTAATTTTGTATCATTATAGTGTTCTTAAATTTTCATAACATATTAAGCATAAATATAATAAAATACAAACTTAGTAACATTTTAACTTATCTTTTAAATAAAATTTTTAACCTATTAGATACTTCCTGATTTTTAGCAGCAAGTATATGGTTTTTACCACCAATAGTTAAAAAACATGTAGGACACTTCACTTCTATCCATGGACGACCACACTAAAAATATTTTTGAGTTCCTACAATCTTTTCACATTTTACATCATTTTTTTAAAAAAACGTTTAATTTTGAAAACTAATATTAAAGATTTCAAAAATTAAATGCTAATATAATAAAACTGTAGTGTGTAATATAATTTTATATATATATATATATATATATATATATATATATATATATATATATATATATATATATATATATATATATAAAGTTATATTAGCATATTCCACAAATAGAGCGCTAAATGTTTTTAAAGAACAGAGCAATAATATATATATATATATATATATATATATATATATATATATATATATATATATATATATTTATATATATATATATATGTATATATATATATATATATATATATACATACATGCCCATAAAATATGGGTCGAACAAAATGTTTATATATATATATATATATATATATATATATATATATATATATATATATATATATATATATATATATATATATATATATATATATATATATATATATATATACATATATATCAGGACTCGAAATAGTCGCCGGACATTTTCCAGCACTTGTCCAGTAAAAAATATTTTGTCTGACCCATATCATTTTAGTTGTTCTTAAATTAATAATAAATTAAATATTGTATATAAACCTCAATTTTTGAACTTTTTATTTTTTATACAAAAAAGTAAATGAAGTTAAACAGACAGCTAGATTAATAAAAGAGGACATTTTTTGAGCTAACTCGTTTTTTAAAAGACGCCTAAGCATTAAATTTTTTTTGAATTAGGCAAATTTTTTCTCATTTATATTAAAACACTGGAATGAATTATTAATTTAAACTTATATTTCAGCATTTATTTTATTTTTTGTATGATGGTTTTTACAAATTTCGAACCAATATCAAAGCTTTTTAAACCCTTATTAAACTTATTTTATAAAACTTTTAAAGTAATAGTTATTTTAATGCCTTTAGAAACCAGTACTTTTTATTAGTACTATTAAGTTTGAGTTATGTTAAGTAAGGGATCGTCCATAAATTCCACAATGCAAAGAGAATTTAAAAAATAGAAATAGGAGATAATTTGCTCTTTTGCGCAGTGGTTTACATTCAAGCTTTAATTTGAATAAAAATTGCTCTTTAAAATCTTAAAATTGAAAGGCTTTAAGCCTTTCAAGTTACATGCTGTGCAAAAGAGCAATGTTTTCTTACTTCTATTCTTTAAATTTCTTTTGTGTTTTATAATTTATGGACAATCACCTTTTAAAAGTGTTTATAAATTTTATTATAGAAAATTTTTAAAAAGATTTATAAAAAAAAATACTTATTTATATAAATGTAATTACGTATTCTTTGATAGTTTAGATAAAATGGGTTTATTGTAAACAATTATTAGAGTAAATTTGTTACTTTATTTAAGTCAACTTAAGTCAGTTACTTTATTTAACTGAATCATTCTAAAAGTTTCATTTCCATCATTCCCAAAATTTTACAACTTAAAAACCAATCTCATGACCTAAGTTTTTTAATATACCTTTTGCAAATATTTGTGGTCTGCAAAGCAACCTTCCATCAGTTGAACCTTACCTCTTGCAAAATTCACCAGACTTGCTTGCTCTTAGTGAGACTAATTTAAATACCGAAATTCTGTTTTCAGATCTGTGTTGACGGATACAATCCTTTGATTTACAAAGACTCCAATAGTCACATGTTTGGCTTAGGGGTATACACATTAATTCACTTATTTATTGTAAAATCAGGTTTGAATCCTTAGGTTATTCTTAAATGTATTTCTGCTTTGCACCTCTTCACTATATTACCTTTCTCTTTTCAATCATGCCTCTCTCTTTATCCCTCTGCCAATATTGTTGTTATGGATGAGTTTAATGATCATTACACAAAATAGCTTCTCTCAGCTGAAAAATGCGCCTCCTATGTAACCTCATGCATTCAAGCAGGGATGTTAGCTTTTATTCCTTCTCGTCAGTTCTAAGTCAAGCCTCATTCTACTGGTTTTCACATTCTTGAGCAGCGGTTATATTTAATCGTAATAATTTTTTTTTATCTTTTTCCAAAGAACAACTCTCTTGATAACAAAAGGCTATTTATTATTACAAGAAATTGATATAAAAAGGTGTTGTCTGATGCTAAGCTCCATTATTCTCAGTTCAATAAATTTTGCATCTTATCTCAAAAACTAGGTTCTAAAGACTTGTGGAAAATTTTAAACAGCATCATTAACAAGGGTAGGTTTAACATTCCGTCACTCATTCACGTGACTGATCTTATTACTTTTCAAAAGATAAAGCAGAACTATTTGCAAAAAACTTTTCTTCTAATTCGACTCTTGAATTTTATGGTCATTCTCTTTCTTCCATTCCAATTAAAGAGTATAGCCCATTGTTAAACATTCAAATCACTCTGGCTTCAATTGCTAAAGTCATATCTCAATTAAACACTTATACAGCTTGTGGTCTAGACAATATTCACATTACAATCTTACAAAATTGTTCTCCAGAACTCTCTTCAATTCTCCCTAAACTTTTTAACAAGTGCTTAACTGAGTCTTGTTTTCTTGCTAGCTGAAAAATGGCATCTGTTGTTTCAATTTTTGAAAAACTCTGATGAACATTCTAACCCCTCCAACGATCATCTGATTAGTCTTTCTTCTGCTATTAGCAAGGTCTTTGAGTGTTAGATCAACAAATTTCTCACATCCTATCTTGAGTCAAATAAATTACTGTCAGACAATCAATGCAGTTTTTGATCCTCTAGCTCTAGGGCTGACATGCTAACTGCTGTGACTGAAAGATTTTATTGTGCATTGGATGGAGACAGTGAGGCTAGAGCTATTGCTCTCAACAAGTCTAAAGCTTTCAACAAAGTTTGGCATGCTGGGCTTCTCTATAAGCCTGCTTCATATGGTGTATCTGGGAAAGTTTTTGAGATAATCATGACATTTCTTTCTAACCACTTTATTAAAGTCATCAACAAAGACCAACACTCTTCTTCATTTTCAATAACTTCTGGGGTACCTCAAGGTTCTATACTTGGTCCTGCTTCATTTCTTATCAACATTAATGATCTTCCCAACAACCTCAAATCTAAAGTAGCTCTTATTCCTGAAGACTCAACTTTATACTCCTGCCTTTTTTTTCTGCCAGTTTCTTTCTTTTTTCTACCAATACTATTATGGTTGTTTCTCAAAGGTGTTATTATCTCTAGTTCCATCAACTAAAACTCATTGTTGCTTGACTTGTCATTCAGCTAAGTTTTGAACATTTACTGTATCTGTCTCTTTATTCTCTAAAAACTTTTATTTGTTAATTTTTTTATTTCCCGTTCTTTAACCCTTTGAAACTCTCTTCCATCATCATGTTTTCCTGAATCATACAACCTAAATTTTTTCGAGTTTTCTGTCAACTGTTTCCTCACTCTGTAATAGTTTGTACAACCTTTACAAAATAAAAACTATGCTATAGTATGATAAAATGATTTTTATAATAACTTTTTTGCTTTAAATTATTTAAAAAAATGAGTTATGGAGTTTAGAATGTGTTTCCATACTTTTTTTCATTTTTTTTTTCTTTCCTCTTTTTTGCAAAAGTGCACTTATATATATATATATACATATATATATATATATATATATATATATATATATATATATATATATATATATATATATATATATATATATATATATATATATATATATATATATATATATATATATTTGCATATTTAGGTTTGCATATTACCAATATATTTTTGTAGTTTTTGAATTATGCAGAAGTTAAACTAGGCGCTTTTTCAATAAAAATAATTTAAAAAAAAATCATTTTTATTGTTGCAGTAATAGTTCTCTTTTATCACAACTGCCTGTCTAAAAGTTAACCATCAATTTATGTATATACTATTATTTTATACTTGCTCACAAAAATTTATTAAAAAGTCAAAACATATTTACTATGTATCAAATTCAATCCCCAACCATGTCCCTGGTAGTACCGCAAACTTGTTTCTCCACGCAGTGGAGAAAAATAAAACCTTAAAAAACAAGTTTTTTAAGGTTTCATTTTTCAAAGTTAAAAAGTTGAGAGATTGCTCCAATATAAAATTAAAAACAAAAAGTTAAAAAAAAGACTTGATTTTTGAAAATCTTACTTCCGTTATCACATAAGGATGACCTTGAGGACAAGCTAAATATTTAATAAAAATACTGTTTAAAATTTTGTTTTTATAAAAAGATATATATATATATATATATATATATATATATTTATAAAAAGCTGAAACATTTTTAAATTGCAAGTAAAACAGCTCTATACTGTAAAATTTTAATGATGAACTTTTCTCTTTTTGATGAAGAAGGTTGAAAACTTCAGCAAAATTGTCACTTGGCATTGCTGGAAAAAACCAATCCTATAAAAAGAAATAACATGAAGTACAATTACTTTTCATTTTTGCCAGATACACATTATTGTTTGAAGAAATATTGCATCTATAATCAGTTAAAAAAAAATTAAGAATTTACCCTATATTTACAATTCTTTCCCTCTGAAAAACAATCTAAAAATTTTTATTTTTTATTTTTGCAAGGCTATGTTTTGCTTTTTCATTTCCAATGTTTCATTTAGTTGTTTCATTGCATGCTTTATTTTGTAAAGTAAAAATAAACTAAAAAGTCTGTGCAGACTTTGCAACAGATGAGATAGAATAAGTAAATTCTATTTCATCTTAAGTTAAGTTTCTATTTAAATTCTATTTCATTTATAATGTTAAGTTAAAACTTAACTATGGATTAATGTGATTTCAGATATTTTTAACTTTATAACAGATAAAAAAAGATACTATTATATTAAACTTAATGCCCATGATTATACAAATTATGGGGAAGTAAGAAGCCCTTTCTCTTTATTCTCCAGCCAATATTGTTGCTGTTAATAATTTTAATGTCCATTACACTGAATGACTTGACTCTAGTGTCAGTGACTCTGTAGGCATTTAGGCCCACAACTTTTGCCTTTCCTTATATCTAACTCAATCAGTCAATTTTCCAAATTGCTTTCCAAACAGTTCGAATCATTTACCTTCTCTACTCAACTTATGCCTTCTTTCTGATCCTAGTCAGTTCTCAGTTTCTCCATATTCACCATTAGGTGATTCTGATCATGCTTTGATCTCTCTAGAACTATTATCTCATTCTTCTTCATCATTCAAATCCCCTTATCACTGTACCTCTTAAAACTACCTTAAAGCTGACCGGGACTTTTTCCATGAATTTCTTCATGATGGCCCTTGGGTAGAAAACTTCCTGAAAAAAAATCTTCCTGAAAAAAAATCTTCCATCTTCCTGAAAAAAAAATGTCCTTCTTACATAATTTCTTGGATTCAGGCTGGCCTGAAATCCTTTATTTGACAATTCCAAGTCAAGCCTCACTCTTCTCCATGGTTTTCTTTGCGTTACACTGCCGCAATTTCCAATTGTAACCATTACTTTCATATCAATCAGCAAAACAATTCTCCAGGAAACAGAAGTCTGTTTACTATTGATAGAAACCATTGTAAAAAGGTTTTGTCAATGCTGAAACCTGCTATTCTCAGGTCACGAAATCTTATATTTCATCTTAAAAATTAGACTCTTGTGACTTTTGGATAATTTTTATCAGTATCTATAATAAGGGCAAATCTTATGTTCCACCTCTCTTAAATGGTTAAAATTTTGTTACCTCACCAAAAGACAAAGCTGAATTGTTTACTAAGAACTTTATATCAATATGATCTCTTAATTCCACTGGTTAAGCTCTACCTGATATACCCAACAAACAGGTTGATTAACTGCTTGACATTAGTATTACCCCAACTTCTCTATCTAATGTGATTTCCTACAGCTCAGGAAAACACTTCTGCAAGACTGGTATTTTCAGGTATGTTGTCCAGACCACAAGCTGTAGAAGAGTCTAAGCAGACTCTTTTACAGCTTGTGGTCTTGACAACATACCTGGTAAAGTCTAGCAGAAGTCTTTCCAGAACTGTCATCTACACTTTCAAAACTATTTAACAAGTGTCTATCAGAGTCTTGTTTTCCAACTTACTGGAATACGGCATCGGTTGTCCCTGTTTTCAAAAACTCTGAATAGTAATCTGACCCCTCTAAATACCAATTTATTAGTTTTCTTTCTATCATAAGCAAAGTTTTTTTTTTCAAGTCTTTAATTAACAAACACTTAACCTCTCATCTTGAATCTAATAACTTTTTTTCTGACTATTAATATGGATTTCAATCTTCTCATTTTACAGCTAATTTGCTAACAGTAATAACTAATAAGTTTTATTTTGCATTTGATAGATGGCGAGAGGTTATGGCTCTTGACATTTCTAAAACTTTTGATAAAGTTTGGCATGCTGGTCTTCTCCATAAGCTTTTTTCTTACAGTGTATCAGGTAACATCTCTAACATTATTAAATCCTTCCTTACCAATCATAGTATTAAAGTTGTCCTCAATGGACAGTACTCTTCTTCATATCCTGTAACTTCAGGGGTTCCTCAAGGTTCTATCCTAAGTGCTACACTCTTTTTAAATTACATTAACCATCTTCCAGATATTCTAACATTTAAGGTGGCATTGTTTGCTAATGATACTACCATTTATTTTTGTCTTGATAAAAAGCCAGCACTTTCTGAGTGCTCGGAAGGGGCATTTGAGCTTGAAAAGAATGTCACTTCTGCTACAACATGGGGCTCACAGTGACTGGTGAACTTTAACTCAGAGAAAACTTTTTTCAGTTTTCAATATTTTCAGCTAATTGTTATCCCAATAATCTAGGTCTTCCTATATTTATAAACTTTAATGTACTCAATGAGTCATCTACCCTTTGTCTTGTAGGATTAACTCTTCCAATCTTTCTTGGAAACCATATATCAAATTAATTGCAAAACTAACATCTGTTAAGATTGCATCTCTTCATCATGCTTGTCACTTTTTTACTCGGGATCCTATCCTTTATCTTTATAAATCTCAAATCTGTCCTTGCATGGAATACTGCTGTCATATCTGGGGCGGATCTTCTAGTGATACCCTTTCTTTTTTGGACAAGGTGCAAAACTGCATTGTAAACATAGTTGGACCTGCTCTTGCAGCAAACCTCCAACCATTATCGCATTGCCCTAATATTGCTTCTCTTTCTCTATTCTGCAAATACTATAATGGGCACTGCTCTAAAGAGTTGTGTCTCTTGTACCATTTACTAAAATTCATTCTCGTGTTACTTGTCATTTAATTAAGTCTCACCCTTTTATTTTGACTGTTTTTAAAAGTCTTATTTGTCTAGTATTTTTCCTCAAACATCAATTCTTTGAAATTCACTTCCTTCATCTTGTTTTCCTAATTCATATAATTTGCAACATTTTAAGTCATCTATCAACTGTTACCTTACTCTAAAAACTTCATTATTTCTCTTCCAGTAACTTCCAACTCTAGTAGTGGTTGCTTGCAACCTTGTTGGAAAAAGAGAGTTTAAAAAAAAAAGCAACAAACTATCTCTGTCTTAAAATATATTTTGAATACACTTGCCTGTCAATCTAAGTAAAGGCTAGAGATGTCTTAAAAAGTATACTTATCTTAAACCCATCTAAACTTTTACTCACTATTGAGTCATAGAAGATCTCCTAGGCAAAGACTTTAGAAATTTAGACTTTACCTTGTGAGACTAAAGGAAAAGCAGCTAATGTTAAAAGCAACTCTGTTAATCAAAATATCATTTATTCTTTATCTAATAAGCTGGCATATTTAGGAATAAACTTGTATTTAAGAAAAAACAAACAAACAAAATAAACTATTTAAGATAAAAAAAAACATAATAAGATGTATTTCTGATATCAAAATAACATTTATATTTGCAACATAAGCAACTACTAATTAGCTAGTTCAAACAATGTAATAAACATATGAATCTATTATTCTGTTTTTGGGAGAAAAAAAAAGTGTGTATACAAAAAAGGAAAAGAGTTATAACAAATCAATAAGCAATAAAACACACACAAAAACTAATACACCAATCATAATAAGAGACAGCAAAGAAGAATAGAAAAGCAAAAAATGTTACCAAAAAAATGTTATATGCAAATACTAATAATAAAAATTGCATTATGTGTAAAAAAGCCATACCTTAACTTACTTACGTCAACCAAAAAGCTTACTTACCTTAACTTTCAATGGTTGTATCATAAGAAGTGAAAACAGCTGGGTTACAGGTTTACCACTATTTACCACAACCCAAAAATGATACAAGATGTCTGTAAATTGTTCATATGGTTTGAATTTATTCAGAACTGAACAACACTCCTAAGTAAAGTGAAAGAAAAACTTTAAATAAATACAAACCTAATAAGGCCGCTGAGCAGAAAAAAAGTTTGAGTATGGAACTTTGAAAGGCATAGTGGGGGTGTGAACCTTCAACCTCTGGTTTGTAAGCAAAGTGTACTAACACTTATTTAACTCCACAATATGTGGGGGTATCATCAATTGAGGATTTAGGGTAGGCCAATTTTATATTTAGATAAAAAATTTCTTTTTTATTATACTTCGTTTCCTAAAAACTTATGAGCACATAAATAAAGTGCACAAAAAATATCAGAATATTGGGTTGCAAATATATATAAATACATAATATATACACATATATATATATATACATATATGTATATATATACATATATATATATATATATATATATATATATATATATATATATATATACATATATATATATATATATATATATATATATATATATATATATATATATATATATATATATATATATATATATATATATATATATATATATATATATATATATATATATATATATATATATATATATATACAATACATACATATATATATATATATATATATATATATATATATATATATATATATATACATATATTTGTATATATATACATGTACATATATACAAATATGTATATATGTATATATACATATATATATATACATATTTGTGTATATATATATATGTATAATAATATATATATACAAATATGTATATATATATATATACATATAGCAAAAGGATAAAACTTACCGTTTGTGTTAAAAATAGCTCTTAATTATTCAATGTTATCTAATTTGGCAAAATTAAGATTACAATATAATGCATTAATTTAATTAAAAAAACTAATAAACTTTATTGTTTCTTTATGAAAAACTACAAAAAAGTTAGTTGTTCTTTGATTAAAAATTTTTTTTAATCAAAGAACAACTAACATTTTTATCAGTGTGATGGTGACTTTAATGCTAATTACACTTAATGGCTCTATTTCCACTGACCCTGCTGGCACTAAAGCCAATAACTTCTGCATTCTCAATCTCTTACTCAGATAGTTAACTTTTTGACTTGTTTTCCTAACAACCCCAATAATTTACCTTCACTCCTTGATTTATGTCTTGTTTCTGATCCTAACTTGTTATCAGCTTCTCCTTTCTCTCTTTAAGGTGGATCTCACCATGCAATGATCTCTTCAAAATCTTTCAACTCCTACTTCCTTTTTGGACTCACACTACCATTGCACTACTTACTACTACCCTTAATCTGACTCTTTTCGGATTCTTTTTGTGATTTTCATGACGGTCCTTGGATTGATGCTTTTTTCTCTCAGCTAATAAATGTGTCTTTATCGTAACCTCCTGGATCCAGGCAGGAATGGATGATTTTATTCCTTCTCATTGGTTCAAGTCAAGCCTCATTCTACTCCGTGGTTTTCACCTTCTTGTGCAGCTCTATTTAATCATAATCATTTTTTTCATCTTTCTCACAAAAAAAAATGATTACAATTAGAAGAACAACTCTCTAGAGAACAACCGGTAATAACTATTGTAAGAAATTGATGTAAAAGATGCTATCTGATGCTAAGCTCCATTATTCTTAGCTCAATTTCAAAGGGTTAAATTTAAAGCTTTCAATTTCTAATCAATTTGAAAAAGTTGTTAAACACTCAGGTTCTGCTGCTAAAGTCATATCTCAATTAAACTTTTTTATGATTCCAAACATATTTCAGATTTTGTGGTTGCAATATTTTTCAGCTGCTTTTTTATATCCAACCATTACAATCATTTGGAAGTCAGGTTAAAACTAGGTGAAGAAATTCAAAGTTCTCCCAATGTGACAACTGACATTGCAAACCTCAAACCAACAGGTTTACCAAGATGTTCTTGAAGCTTGAAACTAATCTGATTTATTTCAACAAATTGTTGTGCTGCCTTTTGAAGATCATTAATAGACTTAATTGATGGAGGTAAAGAATGATCATTGTTGTTGGATAGCAGATTATCTACAGGATTAACATAGGGATTTCTTAAAAAACACAACGAATATGGAATTAAGCAAACTGAATATGACATAGAGCTTATCATAGGCAACAAAGTGTCTTCTGAGGCTTTTTTTACATTACCTACATAACTGTACTGTGGTCGAGACAACATTCCTGTCATTGTCTTACAAAATTGTTCTCCAGTATTCTCTACAATTCTCTCAAAACTATTTAATAAATGCTTGACTGAGTCTTGTTTTCCTGCTTGCTGGAAACATTTGTTGTTCCAATTTTCAAAAAATTCAGATGAATATTCTGACCCTTCCAATTACTGTCCAATCAGTCTTCTTTCTGTTATTAGCAAGTTCTTTGAGTCTTTGATAAACAAATTTCTTGCATCCTATCTTGAGTCAAATAACTTACTGTCAGACAATCAATATGGTTTTTGATCCACTCGCTCTACAGCTGACTTGCTAACTGCTGTAACTGAAAGATTTTATTGTGCATCAAATGGAGGTGGAGAAGCTAGAGATATTGTTCTTGACATATCTAAAGCTTTTGACAAAGTTAAGCATACTGGTCTTCTCCATAAACTTGCTTGTATATATGAGAAAATTTATGACGTTATCAAACCATTTCTTTCTAACCATTTTATTAAAATCATCCTCAAAAGCCAACACTCTTCTTCATTTCGAATAACTTCTGGGGTACCTCAAGGTTCTATACTTGGGCCTGTTTTGTTTCTTATCTACATTAATGATCTTCCTGACAACCTTACATCTAAAGTAGCTCTTTTTCTGATGACTCAGCTATATAATCCTGTCTTGACAAAAAAGTCTTTTCTTTTTGATTTCTTTGAACAGGCAGCCAATATTGGTCAAAACCTGATCTCACTTCTGTAAAATATTGGACCTTGCAGTGGCCTGTAAATTTAAACTCTAACAAAACTGAGTTATTTACTGCAAACAACTTTTGCAGTACTGTCGACATTCCTATATTAATGAATGGCAACCCTCTCACTGAGTCCTCTTCTTTACATCTTTTTAGATTATTATTTACTACTGACCCTTTCGGGTAACCATATATTCAATCATCTGCTAGAGTTGCTTCTCTTTATTGTGTTTGCTATTTTCTTTCTACTGACTCCATTCTCTATCTCTACAAATCTCTTATTCATCCTTGTGTGGAATACTGTTGTCATATTTGGGCTGTTTCTTCTAATAATGCTATTTCTCTTCTAGATAAGGTCAAAATCGCATTGTAAACATAGTTGGACTTGCTCTTTCTGCTAAGCTTGAGACTCTTTCCTATTGTCATAAAGTTGCATCTTTTTCTCTTTTCTAAAAATACTATCATGGACGAAGCTCAAAGGAGTTATCATCTCTAGTTCCATCATCAAAAACTTATTGTCACTTGACTGGTCTTTTAGCAAAGTGACATCCTTTTACTATATCTGTCCCTCCATGTTCTAAAAATTTTTACTTTAGTTTTCACTGCATTTCAATCCTCTTCAAAACTCTCTTCCGTCGTCATGACTTATACAATCCAAAACTTTTCAAATCTTCTGTCAACTGTTACCTTACTTAACTCCATTCTTTGTTTTCCAGTAACATGTTACTTAATAGTGGTTGCTTGTAGCCTTATTGGGAGTAAATTAAATTAAAATATAAGGGAGGTTTGAGTATTTTTAACAACTCTGGGTTTGGGTTATGGCATTAGCTGTTAAGTTTTAGTATATTAAAGTTTTCCTTTATACTTTATTTATATTTAATTATAAATAATTCATTTTTAAGATATTTTGCACATTTTATATTTTGAAATAGACATTTAAATCAAGAATATTTTTTAGAAAAAACAAAAAAACAAAACAAATAACAATAATGAAATAAACAATCTTTTTCCCATAAAAGTAAACCTTTAAAGTTCACAATTATGGTGATAAATATATAAAAAAATTTATTATATACCTGTATTTGTAATCTGTGCTGTACTTTTTTTACTATCTTAAAATAAATTTGATAAAGTTTAGAAAAGTTTATAGAAATTGAATCATTTTTCTAAGTTAACTAAAATAATATATTTTATATTCTTGTAACTTGAAATATTTGTCATTATAAACCTACTTTAGTATGGAACTTGTCTAGATTATGAACAACCTTAGGGATTGTTAGCCAAAGCATTTGGTGTAAATTTGAATTTTCGATATCCTAAAAAAAAGATTATATTCAAAAACCTTTTAAAAACTTTGTATTATACTGGTAGGACCACTCATATCAATAAAAAACTAAACACACTTTTACTAATTGAGAAAGACCATGTTGATCATTTTCCAATACATTAGCAACCAAACGATTGTAAAGATTCTTATAATTGTCACCATGCATTAAGAGCTTGTCATAACTTTGTATATTGTTCTAAAGTTATTTAATAATATTGCAAGAAGATTTATGATACATAAAAACAATATATAAATATACATATACATATATATATATATATATATAAATATATATATATATATATATATATATATATATATATATATATATATATATATATATATATATAAATATACATATATATAAATATATATGTGTATATATATATATATATATATATATATATATATATATATATATATATACATATAATAAATATATAAATATAAATATATATATATATATATATATATATATATATATATATATATATATATATATATATATGTACATATTTATATATATATATATATAATATATATATATATATGTATATATATATATAAATAACCGGGATAGCTCAGTTGGTTAAAGCACTGCTATAAAGTTCAGAATAATTATTGGTCATAGCAGCAGGATTGCAGGTTCTTAACCCGGCTCTGCCTACTCAGCGTATGAGTAGTACTTTGGTACGAAGGGAACTTGTCTCGATTAGCTCTGCTATTATGATATTTCCTTCTCAACTAGTAAATAAATAATCTAGTCGAGTAAAAGAAAATAATCGTTAATTCTTAATCGTTATATACATATATATATATATATATGTATATATATATATATATATATATATATATATATATATATATATATATATATATATATATATATATATATATATATATATATATATATATGTATGTATATATATATATATATATATATATATATATATATATATATATATATATATATATATATATATATGTATATATATATATATATATATATATATATATATATATATATATATATATATATATATATATATACAGTATGCAAAATTAACCTTGGCACACTGCATATGCTGGTTTTTTTGCATCGGGCTTTTCAGTATTTTTATAAAAAGCCTTTGCAAAAAAGTGATGCGGCATTTAGCAGATGGTGCCCATCTACAAACTGCAATAACTTTGCAGATAAGCACCTAATTTTTATTAATTTTTTTAGTCATTAGCTAATATAGAATTGGTAAAACAATATGTTAAATAAATTTTAAAAGGAAGGGTGATATTCTAATAAAAAAAAACTATAAAAGAAATCATTTCTAAAACCAAATATAATATTGTGTAATAAAAACTATTTTTCATTCAATTTTATTTATAGAATCAAAAGAAAATAACTTATTAAAAACGTGAAACTTTAATTCAATTTAAAAAACGTTGCTGATGTAATGCTGAGGTAAATGGTACTTTTGGAGTCAAGTCTTAAAATTTAAAAAACTGATGCAAATTTTAAAAAACTGATGGTACTCTTCCTGAGTGATTTTTAATAAAATTTATGAAAGTTATCAAATCGAAAACAGTTTTTCTGCAAGACCAAGAGCAACTTTAAAAAATTATTTTAGTTGTAAAACTTTATTAATACTTTCATTGTCATTTAAATAAGAAAAACTTTGGTTTGTTGAAGTTTTTACTTACACTTTGGATTATCATTTACTATTGCATATTGCCTTATTTTCATTAGGTTGAATTTTTTAAATGCTGCAAAGTATTTAAATTTAAATCTTTTAAAGCATTTTTAATGCAAAAACTAATATTACAGTTTAGGAGGGAGAAGATATATGTGATCGTTTGTCGCTAAACGGAAGGGGTTAAGAATTGACAAATATAGGATGACGTGCTTTGTGGATGACCTCCTTTAATTAGATTTACAAATGAATGACAAACTAGGAGATGCCAACTCCGACATAAAACACCCCCTGCCTTGGGGCTCTTGGTTGAGTAAAGGCTAGAGATAGCGTCTCGATAAAAATATTCATCTTGGGCAGATGTTAAATGCATCTGGCTGTTGTCTTGTAGAAGGCCTCCTAGGCAAAGACTAAAGGGGTAAACAGATTCTATCTGTTCACCAGCCTGCCACCCCTTCTTCATCTATTAGGCTGGCGCAGATGTATTTTTAACACATTGTTTCCAGTTTAGGATGTTGAATGCTGGATCTTCTTGACTCGATGCATGGGTTTTGCTTGTGTCTCTGTTTTTATGACTAGGCAACTCATTCTATTATCTCCTAATGAGGGTACAGCTCTAAAACTCAGTTTTATGGTTTTGAGGCTGGCTGGTAGTCAGGTTTCCCGAACTCTGTGGTAGCTCTCAGAGAAGCTGATTCCATCAACAGCTGAAAAATATCAAAGTATTAACAGCACATGGATGGTGTCCCTGTTTTTACTTTTGGTGTACATTGTCAAGGCCACATCGGAACCCTGTGTTACGGCTTTGCTGGGCAATTAAACAGTGTACTGAGTACTATCTATGTTTCGAGTCAAGTTCTTTAACAACTTTAAAAATGTATAAAGTAACAAAAATTAAAAAAAACACAAAAAATCAGTCATCACCAAGTTCGCTAAACCTATCATTCACTAATATTTGTGGTCTTCGAAGTAACTTTTCTTCTGTTGAGTCTTATCTCTTGCAAAGTTCGCCAGACCTATTTGCTTTTTGTGAGACTAATTTGAGTTCAGCTGTCTCATCTTGTGATCTTAGTATTGATGGTTATCTTCCTTTAATTCGTAAAGACTTCAATAGTCACATTTTTTTTTTTTTTTAATAATTATTCACCTCCCCAAGGCCCGAGGGGGCCACTAAAGTCGAGGAGGCTACTCATTTTTTTTGTTTTGTTTTTATTTTTTTTATTTTTTGTTATAAATTGTGGTACAACCCACTCTCAACTCTTTAACTCCGAAACATGAACTTTGACAAGTAAGATCCCTGCGCAGAGAAATTAAGTTGAGCGCGGTACTTCCAGGGACGTGGTGGGAGAACCTCTTGTCTACAAAGCGAGCACTCTTACCACTATACCACTACCGCAAGTTACCACTACACTACTACCGCAACATGCTTGGCCTGGGCATTTACATTCTTAAGAATTCACCCATTTTTCGGGAAACTAGGTTTAAATCCACAGACTACTCTTTTACGTGCTTTCGCTTAGCACCACTTCAATCTATCATCTTTCTTTTTGTTCTATATCGCTCTCCTTTATCTCTAAACTGATAAATCTTTCTTGATGATATTATTTCTTGATGATATTATTTCTTGATGATATTATTATTTCTGATCATATTGACCATGCCCTCTCTCTTTATCCATCAGCCAATATTGTTGATGTTGGTGACTAATGTTTATCACACTGAATAGCTTGGCTCTAGTGTCAGTGACTCTTCAGGCATTAAAGCCCAACTTTTGCCTTTCTCAATCCCTAACTCAAATAGTCAACTTTCCAACTCGCTTTCCAGACAACCCAAATCATTTACCGTCTCTTTTCGACTTGTGTCTTGTTTCTGATCCTAATCAGTGCTCAGTTTCTCCACATTCACTCTTAGGTGCCTCTGATCACAGTTTGATCTCTCTAAAACTATTATCTCATTCTTCTTTACCATCAGAATCCCCCTATCATCACACATCTTACAACAACCTTAAAATTGACTGGGAATCTTTCCGTGATTTTCTTCGTGATGGCCCTTGGGTAGAAATCTTTCGTCTTCCTGTTGACAAATGACATAACTTCGTGGATTCAGGCTGGCATGGAACTCTGTATTCCCTCTTGACGATTCCAGGTCAAACCTCACTCTTCTCCATGATTTTCCGCACATTGTGCTGCTGCAATTGCCAATCGAAACCATTACTTCCATATCTATCAGCAAAACAATTCTCCAGAAAACAGACGTCTGTTTATTACTGCTAGAAACTGTTGTAAAAAGGTTTTGCTAATGCCAAAGCATGCTATTCTCAGATCATGAAATCTCATATTTCATCTCAAAAATTAGGCTCTCTTGGCTTCCGGAGAATCTTTAATAGTATTAATAATAAGGGCAAGTCTGTAATTCCATCTTTTTTGTATGGTTCAGACTTTGTCACCTTACATTAAGACAAAGGTGAATTGTTTGCTAAGAACTTTTTATCAATATCATCTCTTAATTCTACTAATTGCATTCTACCTGATATAGCCATCAAACAGATTGATCTGTTGCTTGACATCAGTATCACTCCAGCTTTTGTATATAAAGTGATTTTTTGCTTAGACTTTATTGTTATGCTTTATTGTTTGAAGACAAAAAAAAAACGAAAATTTCTAACTTTTTGGGAAGTGGAAATAGATTGAAATCAATCTATTTTCAATTTCCAGAAAGTGGAAAGTATTTAAAAATTAATAACTTTCTTTAGATTTTTACTTGACATTAAATTTATGGTATTACTATTAATAAATTTGATTTTACTTACACTTTTTAATCACTTCCCATTGGAAAGCCAAAAAAAAATTCAAACAATATTTTTTTTTTAATTTTTTTATTTAATAAAATATCTTTTTTACAAATAGTTGATTATATCATAGTCAATAGAAGTTATACCTGGTCATAAAATAAAATGGTCGAGAAATAAAATATTTTGACAAAATGGTCTTATTGTTTAAAAATATCACAATCACGTGATCAAAGTAAGTGCATAAAAATTTCCTGATTGAAACATAGTCAATAGAAGTTATCCCTTAGAAGTTATCCCTGGATAATTTCTATTGACTAAAGTTTAACTGAGTTTTCACTACTTTATTCTTAATTACTCTAATGAATTATATAAAGTGAAATCAGAGTTCGTTTGGCGTCTGAAGTATATTTATTTTGAAATTCGATTTAAAAATTGAAAATGGTAAAAAAATGCTTGTATTTTCAAAATACTAGCCTTTGTTTATTTTATCATTTCATAATTTTTGGCATTAAAATCAGAACTCTTTAAAATTAAATAAAAAATTCATTAAATTATTAATTCTATTAAATTATATAATTAAAAATTTTTTTTGGTTCATCAATGGTAATAAATATATTCATTTTTTTAAATTAACAATAAGCCATTTTTAGCTATGTGCAAATAGTTCAGTTATAAGTATAATAGATACTTCGTCCGTTTTAACTGAAATTTTTTATATTCTGAGAATTTAAAAAAAAATCATTTCTTTTTTAATGTTAAGATTATTTATATAATTGTTTTTTTATTTGTTTATGTATTCTTTTTTTAATTGATGCATAAAAATACATGAATAAATAAAAAATAATTATATTAATATTTTTATTTACACATTAAAAAAAAGGAAAAAAAGATTCATTTGCTATTCTATTCTCCTAATATAAAAAAAATCAGTTAGAACTTTGTCAAACCAACGCGACTTATCTTTGCATTTGCATAATCAAGCCAGTTCATTTAACAAACATTAGTTCTTAATTTTACATTAAAACTTTTTCTTTCTTGAAATTAATAAACTGGGACATGTCTTTATAACCTCCGGGTGGTTGGAAATTTATAAAATAGACAAGAATTAAATTTTTCAATAACTTTCCAATGGAAAGTGATTGGAAAGTGTAAGGAAGTAAGGTTGAATTTAGTTAATAGTAATATTATAATTTTTTCTACAGTGTAAAAACTTAAAGAAAGTGATTAATTTTTAAATACTTTCCACTTTCCGGAAATTAGAAATAGATTCAATTCAATTTATTTCCACTTTCTGGAAAGTTGGAAACTCATCATGTGACATCAAAATTAACTTATTTTTATGTCACATAAATTGTATAATTGAAACTATTTATAACTAATTAAATTTATTTTTCATTATAAAATCATGGATTATTTTTAAAACTTCAACTTTCCCTGAAGGAAAGTGAAACTAAATACTCCTAATTATAACTATTTGCTTATTATAATTAAACTATTATTTATTGTATAACAATGCAGAATGTTAACTATGAATTAAAAACTATTCATTATAAATGATTCTATTAACTATTAAGTTTATAAACATTTAATTTAAATCAATTGAAAAAAATTTACAGATGAAAAAAAATGCATACAATGTAGCCTAACAATAAATGTTATGCTACACCTAAATACATTTTTATGGATGCAGAACTTACAAAACACTTACGCTTTTTTTTTTAAATATAAGCCAATCAGCATTAGCTTGTGCTAAAATATTTTTTAAACTGTCAATTCCATATTTACGAACAATTTGTTTCAGTATATATATGTGCATAGGAGTGTTTTTGTACTTGATTAGGAAACTGCCCAATGTTTCAAAAAAAGAATTAAACTTTTTTTTTAATTGCACATCTGTATTTTTTTTAGCAAACCATAAATATAAAATATCTGCAGAGTATCCCAAGAATAATCGAGCAGAAGCTACAGCCTCAAAAAATTTTGAATTGCTGTTAGATATATCTGATGTAAACTTTTCTTTAAGGTCATAAATACCAATCAAACCTTCAGATACTGCATCAAGAAAAGGTGCATTTATTACACTATTCTTCTTTATTAGAGAGTGTTCAAGTTGCAGCTTATCCTTTAAATCAAAAAATAATAATATAAAAAAAAAAACATGTATGTCAATTAAAAAAAATAAAACTATTATTAATTAAAAAGTAATAAACTAACCTCTGAACAGTAAATAAATAAAGTTGCTGTACTAAAAAGCTGTTTTTTATTTTCATTAAAAAACAATTTTTGAAAATGCTTTTGTAAGTAGCTTTCAACATCATTGTATGACCTTAAAAAATATAAACAACACATTTGAAGTATAAGTAGAATATAAATAGGCATAGCAAATAATAAGTATTCAAATACTAACAAATGTAACAAATAAATTTATATAAATAAATATTATAAATATATAAACACATAAACACACTACCCCAAAATTTATAATAAAATTTAAATTTTATTATAAATTTAGTATGTGTGTGTATATATATATATATATATATATATATATATATATATATATATATATATATATATATATATATATATATATATATATATATATATATATATATATATATATATACATGAATACAGCATTAGATAGTAATGATGTCATACTGGAATAAGTAGCTGTAGGAGCTTCAGTACATATATTGATTGAGCAAATAGGTAGAACATGATAAGAGCACCGCTACTTCAACTAAGGGTTTGGGTCGAGGTAGCAATCGTTTTTTTCAATATTCTTTATTTTTTCTTCTTTTTCTGAAAAACTAAGGAGCCCATTTTAAGAATTTAGGCACGCAAATATATTAGAAAATTGCTTTCCATCTGAACTATTACAATTTTTATTAAAAATTAATATTTTGTTGCATCACCACCAATTTAAATTATTGCTTCCAAACAACATAGCATGGATTCTACCAACTATTGGGTAACCATTGATAATATGTTACCTCATTATCTAAAAATGATTTTCTTGGCATCTATTTTGCTGGTAGGTTTTAAATTTTGGACTCTCTCCTTTAAAATTTTCCACAAATACTCAATATTTATATTAGGACTCTGTGGAAGCGTATTTAACAATTATGTAGTATTGTGGAGTAACCATTCTTTAACTATATATAATGTGTGCTTTGGGTCATTATCTTGTTGAAAATAATAAACCCTTAGCATACTTAATTTTTCAATAATTTGAAGTAAATTAGCTTTTAAAATGTTAAAATATTCATCTTTATTCATAATATCTTTAATTTTACAATAAGTCCATTATACTTTATTGTTTTAACAGTATTTTTACAATTAATTTCTCTACTTGCTTTCCTTCATATAATTAATTTCCTGTCTGAACCGAAATAATGTAATTTTATATCATTGTTTCAAAAAGATTTATTTTATTTCAATAATACATTGAACCAAAACTATTTTTTGGCAAACTCTAAACATTTCTTTTTATTGACATCTGATATGTACAACTTCTTGCAAGGTACTCTACCATTATAATTGCTTTTTCTCAATACCCATCAAACAGTTTTAACAGGAATCATTTTATTAATTCTCTTAGGCACATCTTCTTTTAATTGTGGCACACTCTGTTTTGGATTACTTTTTACTTCTCATAAAATATTCATCTGTTTCAGATAAGATTCTTTTTCTGCCTCTTTGTTATTATTTGCTAAATTCTTTTCATATTTTATACCTTCATATATATATTTATTGTATACTGTATTATTGTATTTTTTTGTATTTGTATAATTCAATAAGTTATTAATTATATTTTTTTTATTTTTAATTATATATTTGTGCAATAAAATAATTTGTATAATATAATAATTGTATTTCCTTCATATCTACATTTATTTATTGCATACTATTTCCTTCATATCTATATTTATTGCATTTATTGCATATTTATTGCATAAATTTGCCAATTTTTTAGTTTTTTATACTCCATAAGAAAAAAGCCAAATTTTAAACAAACAATTTTTTGTTTTATTTTGCAGTATACAAAATAAAGCAAAAATTTGCTTGTTTAATAATAATAAATAGTTACTTAATAAAATTAGTCATAAAAATGATACTTTAAAGAGTTAAAAAAAGATAATACTAGAAATAATGTTAGATGGTACTAGGAATATTGTTAGTACAATAAACATCGTTAAATAATAGCAAAGTATTAAACTTTGTTTAAAAAATACTTAAAATTTTCAATTTTTATTAACTTGATATCTTTTTTGTTTTCTTAGTATTTGAACTACCTGTGAAAAAGCTGTTGAAGCAAATATAAACAAACGATTGATTTGGATTCAGCATCAGAGCTATTTAAATCTAAACTTGAAGTCGCTGGGGCAAAAAAAACAAAGTCTAAAACTTTATTTGAAACATCTGCTTCTACCATATTGAAATTTCTCTTAGCAAAGTAAAACTCTGTGATAACTTCAGCATAAAATGCATCGCATCTTTTTTTAAATTCTTTTTTCCCAAACACTATGTGTCTGTAATACAAAAAGTAACAAAATTATCATTTAATTAAAATTATTTAAAGATAAAAACTGATTATCTGTAGAAACCTATTTCAAAAAATGTAAAATTTATTTTAAAAATTACCTTTTCTGTAAACTATTTTCAAAAATATCATCTTTTTCAAAAACTTTACTACAAACTGGGCACTTGGTTGTTTTAAAAAGAATATGATGAATGCACAAATTAAAGCTGCTTTTACAACATGGCAAAAAAATTCCTATATCTTTACCATCACCAGTACAGTTCAAGCAATTAATAAAATCTCTGTATATCGATTGTTGATTAAAGTTACTAAATAAAAAAAGGCTAATATATTCTAATTGCTTTTTTTATTAATAATAATGATACACCAAAAAACACTTTATAGTAACATAATTTTTCTATTAGTCAGATTGGAACAATTTTTCGATTAGATGGGTCTTTATTCAATAGGTTGTTTTATTTGTAACAGTAACTATTAATTATATAATTTAAATAATGTAATTTAAATTGTTTATAATAAATATTTATATACCAGGGGTCCTTAAACCTCGCTATAGATAAAAAATCATAACTCACTATTTTTCATAAGCTGTGGTTATCCTTTGTAAACAATTTAAACCCAATTTAAGCTCAGGTGTCTAATACATTCCTAAGCCTGTTTTCTATTTAATAGATATCTAATATTATTATAAAAGATGTTCTTCAAAATAGATCAACCTGGTGTTGGTGATTCCATGGCGCTACAAAAAAATTTGACATTTGACCAAAAACACTGAATTTTCATAAACTTTACTCTCTTATATCTTTTTGCACGGTTAAGCAATCACCTTGGGGTTTTTTACATTAGTTTAGTGTTACTCAACCTCTTTCCAGCCATATATAGAAAGTACTATGCTTCATTTGGCTTTACTTAAATATTGTCAATACCTTGAGACCACTTTTGCTATAAAAAAGTTGATACGGACAGGTTTTTTAAAAAGTAGCTTTAGAAGGTAAGATTTCCTAAGTACTAAAATACATCCAATTTGCATGAAAGTTTCCATATAAATTAAAAAAAGGATAAGGAATCGAATGGAAAGAGGAACATTTTTCAAACTTATACAAAAAATTTTAGTTTTCAAAGTTTAAAAACTTTAAGGTTGATTTTGTTTTAAAAAAAAAAAATTTTAACAAAAGGCTCCCTGTCCAAAAGGCAAGTATAGCCCTTCCTCTCTCTAAATCAAGTATTTATTTATGTATTCTTGAAGATTTGATTCTTAGGAATTTTATATTAAAATTATGTATGCATTGTATGCTTTTTTTTTTTGCGTACTCAATGATGTTTTCTGTTTTGATTTTTGCATTTGTTTACCATGTTATAAATAAATTTTTGTTTTTGCTTAATGAAACTTGATGATGCTTTTTTTTTTACTTAATTAGATACTTAAATACTAGCTAAACTATTTAGCTAATATTTAAGTTTCTAAATAAGTGAAAAAAAACATCAAATTTCATATATGTTTATTGTCAACATTGAAAAAAAACTCAAACTTCATATATGTTTGTCGTCAACATTGTTAACAACAACAAAAATGATGGAAAGAACAAAGATTTTTATTCCATTTAAAGCAGCTATATATTATTTTTGTAAAATGAACCATCCTAATTAACTGATATTTAAGTGAATAAGAAATAATTTAAGGCTGTGAATAAGAAATAATCCTTGTTAAGAATTATTTCTTATTCATAAGATTATTTCTTCTCTGGATTGTTTATCAAAACTGTAAGTTTAGTTATAGACTACAATCTATCTATTTAATAGACTATTGTGGTTACAGATTGGCCTTCTTTAAACTGTTTTTTTCAAAACAAAAAACAAAAAATCATATCAACTTCAAAAGGTTCAAAAGTGACCAAAAATGGAATTGTGTAAGAACTTATATCTTTCATAAGTTATAGTACATTTTTGAATTAATTAGGCCTACTTCCCTTATTTTTTAACATTACCACAAACATTTTGCTATTTTAATACTTTTATTTATTAAAAGCAAATTTTATTGATCCATCCCTTCTTTTCTTTGTTTTGAGTTACTTTAATTAATAAAATTAAAATTAATAAATTAATTTATTAATTTTATTAATTAAATTTTAATTTTATTAATTAATTTATTAACTTTATTAATTAAATTAATGAAATTAATTAATAAAATTAGTTTAATTAATAAAATTAAAAAAATAGGTTTACTTTTAATTTTAGCTTCCAAATTATTACTGGAAAGACCATTTGATACTGCCAGAATATATTTAAATTTTTAAATATTAGAAGAATAGAAGTTTGAGTAACACAGCTTGAAAAAACATCATTAGCAGTTTTCAAGTTTAAATCAGAAAATAAATTTTTAGAAGCAGAAACATCTTCCTGAACAAATTCTCTAGAATTTGTTGCAGAAGGTGTTTGGCTAGAAGAAGTGATAGAACAATTAACCCAAGGTAGCAAATCATCAACATTGTTAAATCATGCGAGATTGACTTTTTATTTTAACTATCTGTATTTCCAACAATGCTGGAAGCAACCACTTTTAGAGTTGGTAGTTAATGGAAGACCCAAGGTGAACATTATAATGATTAACAGATGACTTGAAAGATTGCAAATTATATGAACCAGGAAAACAAGATGAATGGAGACTATTATAAAAAAACTGTTATTTATTTTATTATTATATTATCCTATACAATCGTATACATGTTATTTATTTTATTATTATACTATCGTATACAAATACTAACTTAGCAATGATCCAGATTATCCAGAGCAATAGAATGTGCCTCACCACTTCTTTGTAATAATAATTTCAAACCTTTCTGTAACGACAGTTCACAGGTCAGCTCCAAATCGAGATGATTCAAGTCCATATGTTCCTTATGTCATTGACAAATAGAGCCACCTGTGAACCTGTTTTCAGGATGATTATTGATGTTGCTTTTTACCTGTGGGCTTTTCAGGATGATCATTAATTTTGGTTAGAAATGGTAAAGGGTTGAGGATAGAAGTTAACCTTGTTAGCTAAGTATTGATACTAGTGTGAATTTGCAGTGTTTAGTGTCACAGGGTCTGTATGTTTTGTGATTGTGATGTTATTGTTGTAATGTTTTGTGTTGATAGACAACTTGGCTTACTTCTCGCTGGTGTCTTTTGTTAAAAATGATTATTAGGTTGTTTCGTTAATGAAACTTGCTACTTCTAGTCATTCACTAAAAGCCAAGAGATAAGTTGTAGAATAGCAACATTTTTTGTTTTGATGTTTTTGTTTTTTTTTTATTTTTATCTTAGGTGTTGTCAATAGTTCACA